GCTGCACCCCGTCACTATGCCCAGGAGCCTGGAGAGGATGTGGGCTCCCCTGACCATCCCTCAGAAACTTAAGACTTGAGCATTTTTTTCATGATTAGTTGACTTTCTGGATAATTTGGCAGTTTTAATGGATGTAGCCTTTAATAGTGCCATGTAATGCAAAGGGTTTGGGATTCCCCAATTGGATCCAACAGTCTCCCATTGAAGCCAATGACAGTGGGAGCAGGATGGAATCTAATATAAAATAATGGCTACAAGGCACATCCTCATGAAAGTTTCTCATGATGCAATTTTCTTGTCTGGGCAAATGTTCAATGTAATTCACACAAATTACAAACTCTGTAGTGCAATTGAGATTTAACATTCTGCTGGGATCGTTTATCATGAAAAATAATTATGTGTATGAGTCTCTTAATTGTAGACAAGAAACCCATGGTAATTTACTCTTTGGGGACATGAAGGCAGATAAAATGACTACACAGTTTGTTCAGATCAAACACAGAACCTCAATCAATGCATTTACCAGAGGCTTTATAGCAGTAGCCTTCCATCTACCACTAAGTGCAACACCAGTGGAAACAATGGTCTTATAAACTCTGGAATTCTGACATTTCAGGTACAGTTTATATCATCACATTAATATCCATAAATTTCAGACTAAAGATTCCTTTTGATCTAATATTTTGCTTATCTTATCCTAACTAGAGAACAAAAAAAATAATACAATTTGTGTACAGGCACCATGAGATTCTTTTATTTGATATAGCATGTATTTGAGTTTCAAGTCAATGCTAATTTTAAGATTATAAAATGGAGAACATTTTCATTCAGTATAGTACAATTTTAATTTTATATTTCAGCATTTCTCATTCAAATTGTATCCTCAAAACTTTTCGCAGCTGAAAAAAATAATAGCAAATGGAAGAGAAAAAGGAAGAGGTATAAATATATAATAGTTGAGATTACAGAAACTTCCAATACAGGTTAAACCTCTCTAGTCTAGCACCCTCGGGACCTGGCCAGTACCAAAGCAGATAATTTACCGTACCACAGGAAGTGAATGTTGTCTAGCAACATTACCAAAACTTCCACCTCTTATTGGGCTCTTAAATGACATTTAGGGGTAAATTAGAGCTAACTAACAGCATAGAACACTGAGATCCAGGACTAGTGTCTGTAAACAAACTTTATGAGATCGCAGGAAATTTGGCCACAACCATGATAAGTGGACATCCAGCTAACTAAAGTATTGCCAGAGCACAGATGTTCCCAAACCAGAGGGTGCCGGATTAGAGGTTCAACCTGTAGTTATTTTCTGTACTAAGGACAGAGGAAAAGATTTTAAAACTTAATATAGATTAACATAGATCTGGAAGGGACTGCTTGGATCATGAAATTTAGTCTATTTCTATTGTAAGCAACATCATCCTATCCATAAACTTGTCAAGCTCCAACCTAAACTAGTGTATTTTGTTTCTCCCCTCCCTCCACTTTTATCCAAGCAAGAGGCTGTTCTGAAACCTCACACCTCTGATGGTTAGAAATATTTTTCTAATTTATACATGACCAATTTTTTGTACCAATAAATTCCTTTAGCTTAAATATAGTAATAGAAATGTAACCGTGTTAGTCTGGTGTAGCTGAAGCAAAATGCAGGACTATGTAGCACTTTAAAGACTAACAAGATGGTTTATTAGATGATGAGCTTTCGTAGGTCAGACCCACTTCCTCAGATCAAATAGTGGAAGAAAATAGTCACAACCATATATACCAAAGGATACAATTAAAAAAATGAACACATATGAAAAGGACAAATCAAACATTTCAGAACAGAAGGGGGATGCGGGGTGGGGAGGAAGGAAGGAAGGTAAGTGTCTGTGAATTAATGATATTAGAGGTGGGGAAAGTTAGATGTCTGTGAGCTAATGGTATTAGCTTAAATATGTCCTCTCTCAACCTTTGTTTTGCTAAACTAAACAAACCAAGCTCTTCTAGTCTTCTCTCATAAGAGAGATTCTCCATTGCCAATGAAAAATATCATCTCTCTATTATTGTCAGATTGATAGAGCTACAACTACAGCACAGATAGCAGAAATTAGTAGTAGTACCTAAGTGTATCACATTTATAAAATGTAGGTGTTTATTTGATGCTTTACAGTGTGAAAAGCAGGCTGCAAATATAACAAAAACAAGGTTTTCTTTACACAGAATTCTGGTATTTCTATTTCTGGTGCAGGCTACAGCCAGGAACTGGAGAAATGAATATCTGGTAATGAAAGTAATGTCGCTGACTATTGTCACATACGCATGTGCATAAACATGTGCATAAACTATGTAAACTTCCCACGCCCTGCTTTGCCATGATTTGGTAGACATCTGTGTTCTGTGGAAGCTCTGCAGATCTCTTTTGTATCATATCGGCGGTAGTAGGAATATATAGGGTTAATAAATGAAAATCTTTCTAGAAATACAATTTATGAGACTGTGGAATACTCTCCCGGGAGAAAGTGTGGAAGTCCATCTCTTCAAAATTAGCTGGAGAAGACAGTGGCAGATATATATTTTTATGTGTGTATGAGTGTGGATTGGTTGAGGCGATGCCTTAAATCCTTCTCTATTTACTATTATTCTATGACTAACTCAGCATTTATTAATTCAGTTTATACACTGTAGTTATCAATAACTCTCAAAGCACCAAAATTTTAAGAAAATAAACGTATACTGTAATCAGATTTTTATAATTTCAAAATGACATTAAAAGGGCCATCCAGAGCCATCCCTCAAAGCCGGCCAGGGTGCTTGGAGTGGGGCTTTTAAGAACTGTTATTCAAGATGCTCTGTTTCTTCCTACCTTCTGATTTCCAGAAGCTGGGAGTAGATGACAGGGGATGGAGCACTTCTTAGTTGTGTATTCTGTTTTTTTCTTTGAAGCACCTGGCACTGGCCACTGTCAGAAGATAGGATACTGGGCTTGAAGGACAATTGTTCTCATGCATTATGGCTGACTTAGAACAATGTTTCCTCAGATCCTGTCCCCTTTTACTCCTCCTCTCCTTACACTATATCGATGACATCTTTATGATCTGGACCCATGGCAAAGAAACACTGGACTTATTCCACAGAGACTTTACCAGCCTATATCCCACCATCAATCTCAGCCTGGACCATTCTACATGAGAGATCCATTTCCTGGACACCATAGTACAAATCACTAAATGGAAAATTAAAAATCACTCTCTACAGAAAATCCACTGACTGCTACACTTACCTACATGCCTCCAGCTTCCATCCAGGACACATCATATGATGCATTGTCTATAGTCAGGCCCTTAGGTACAACTGCATCTGCTCTAATCCCACTGACAGAGACCAGAAACTTCAAGATCTCTACTAAGCATTTGTAAATCTCAATTACACACTGGGGAAATAAAAAAACAAATTGAAAGAGCCAGACAAATACCCAGAAACCATCTACTTCAAGATAGACCCAAGAAAACCAACAATAGACCACCACTTGTCATTGCCTATAGCCCCCAACTTAAACACCTCCAGTGCATTATCACTAACCTACAACATATACTGGAACAAGATACTACACTCTGAGAGGCTCTGAGAGACAGACCCATAGTCTCCTCAGGAAGATTCTTACCAACAGCCACAGGATATATCACATTAATACCAACCCTGCAACTTTCCCTTGCAACAAATCCCGTTGCCACCTTTGTCTACATATTTACTCTGGAGTCACCATCACTGGACCTAACCTTGTCAGTTATATGATCAAGGACACATATTCCTGTTCATCCAGAAATATAATTTATGCCATCATGAGCCAACAGTGTCCTTCTGATATGTATATTGGACAGACTTCTCAGACACTTTGCCAAAGAATCAATGCCCACAAATCAGACATCAGATATCTTCACAGGGAAAAACCTGTCAGTTTGCATTTTAACCTACCTGGACATAGTCCTAAAGTCTCTTTGAAGTAAGATGCATGTAGTAAGGTCGTTAACACCAGATTACAGAGAGAAACTTCAGAACTTTCATCCATGCTTAAATTTGACACTTTACAAATGGAACTTAACAAAGATGCTAATGACCTTACACATTATAAAGACAGCTTCCCCACTTATCACCCCTGATTAGCCATTCATTGACTTATAAACAGCTATTCCCTCCCTCCAACCTCTCTGTCCCTCTCCCCATCTTCTGTTCTAATTCTGATTTGTCAGTTTAATAATGTGTTCACTTTTTTCCTTGTATTCCTTTGGAATGTGTGGTCATGCCAATTCTCTTTCAGAATATGATCTGAGAAAGTGGGTCTGGCCCACAAAAGCCCATCACCTATTAAACCATCTTGTTAGTCTTTAAAGTGCTACATAGTTCTTCCTTTTGTTTTAGCCATTCTTATGAAACATTCTCTTTTTTCTCCTTTTTAAGCTACATGGATAGATTTAAGAACATTATTCATTATATATCCAGACTGAATGCTGAGTAACTGCATCATTGGGAAACAGATGTATTGCTAATTGTCATCAACATAGTACTTAAACCATCTCATTTTCTCTCCAGAGGCTTCATATATAAATAAGAACATAAGAAGAGCCATACTGGCTCATTCCAAAGTCTAATCTATCCCAGTATCCTGTCAACAGAGGCCAATGCCAGGTGTACTAGACGGAATGAACAGAACAGGTAATAATCAAATGATCCATGCCATCATTCATTCCCAGCTTCTGAGAAACTAAAGATAGGTACAACATTCCTGCCCAACCTGGTTAAATACATTGTTTGGAGTAAAAGGCTCTTAGAGTGAACAGAAATTTGTGAGAGAAGCAATTATATACAATAATAAGCCCAATATGTTATTTTAGCAACAAAGATCTTCAGAAAAACACACTACATTCACAATCCTACAATCTTTGACACTAATGAAATAAATCGTGTTGTTTCCTGACTTTGTGTTTTTCATTCTAGATGTATTCAACAATCAGTCCATGAACAACTGCAATGGCAGTTCTTCTGCTAAAGACTTTTATCTCACTGGATTTCCTGCACTTCAAGATTTCCAAATCCCTCTTTTCTTTGTATTTTTGTTATGTTATCTGATAATACTAATTGGTAATACCATTATTATAGCTGTAGTTGTGATTGATCAAACACTTCACAAACCCATGTACTTTTTCCTAACTAATCTCTCTGTGCTAGATATACTATTTACAACTACTACCATTCCCAAAATGTTGGCAATGTTTCTGGTCAATGCCAAAACTATTTCTTTTCACTTCTGCTTTCTGCAGATGTACTGTTTTCATGGTCTAACAGTGATTGAATCGCTATTTCTTGTAGTCATGTCTTATGATCGTTATGTAGCGATATGCACTCCTTTCCATTATCCTGTTAAAATGACAAAGAAAGCAAACATTCTACTGGCAGCGTGTGCCTGGGTAACTCCATTGTCAATATCAATACCTATTACCTTCCAGGTCTCTCTGTTAACATTTGGTGAAAAAACCACAATTTATAATTGCTTTTGTGATCACTTGGCAGTTGTGCAGGCAGCATGTTCAGATTTCATCGCCACTTTTCAGTCTCTCATGGGGTTTTACTTTGCCATGACTGTTTCAGCTGTGCCTTTTATACTCGTCGCCCTGTCATATATTTGCATCATTATCTCCATATTAAAGATCAACTCTAACATAGGTCGCAGTAAGGCTTTTTCTACTTGCACTTCCCATTTGATTGTGGTTGGCACTTACTATTCATCCATCGCCATGGCATATGTTTCCTACAGAGCAGACCTGCCGATTGATATCCATATAATGGGTAATGTTGTTTTTGCTACTTTAACCCCCTTGTTAAATCCACTCGTTTACACTTTGCGAAACAAGGAAGTAAAATGTGCAGTAAAAAAGTTTGTTTTTCTAAAGCTCATTTCTCCTTCTAACAAAATGTAATCTGATGGGGAAAATTTAGCTCCAACGTAGTAGCTTCATGGTGAATCTATACATCACATCAACTCCTCTGTAGAGGGTTACGTGGAACTTAAATTGTTTGTCTTGCATAGGTTCTTCTGCCTTGGGGTGATTTTCATCGTACTGATGCTATCAGGTATTTCTGAAAATACAAAATTTCTGGTTGTTGAAAGGTACCAAAAGTATTTGGCTTAATATTCTGTAATTTGGTTTACAATTGTTCTGTATGTAGGGCTATAAATGAAGTGAAAAGCTACAAGTGGAAACAATTTTCTCTTTATGGAAGACCAATCTAGGTGATGAAGTGAAATTATTCCTCCTTTTTTATGCACAATTACCTGGGAACCTATCCCAACGAAAGCATATTAAATGTGCAGTTGTGGTATATCTGGGCTAAATATTCCCCGCAATGTGCAATGTCATTTGAAACTGTTTACCATTAAAATAATGTAAAAGTTTACTTATGATTTTTTCCATGATGCAGTAGAAACAAATTAAAAGGTTGTTCATAAATTATTATAAAACATTTTATCAGACAAACATTGACACATAAAATACATTATATTAATTACCTTATATAGTCAGCTTCAATAAGAGCTACTTATTCCTAACAATTTACTATGTAATGAAAGGACTACTAGATCCAAAACTGGTGTGGAAATGTTGGAAAAGTTGAGGTACCCTGTTGCTGAAGAGCAGAAGTCTTCAGCAACAGGATGAAAAGAAGCTGCCCATGTAGCTGGCACTACCATCCCCACCAGAGGGGTTAGAGAAACTTAATCCCTGTAGTTCTTTAAAAGCGACGAGGAGTCCTGTGGCACTTTATAGACTAACTGAAGTGTAGGAGCATAAGCTTTCGTGGGCAAAGACCCACTTCGTCAGATGCATCTGATGAAGTGGGTCTTTGCCCATGAAAGCTTATGCTCCTACACTTCAGTTAGTCTATAAAGTGCCACAGGACTCCTCGTCGCTTTTAAAGAACTACAGGGATTCAACTTCAAGAAGCTGGAGATTGGAGGTTCTTGAGCCTTCTGTAATGTAACCAGTCTCCTAACTGACCAGGCTTTTTACTAGGTAGAGAGAGTATTAACAATCCAGCTCAAGGGTGGGAGTCATAAGGGAGAACTGCAAGACATGGGACTAAACAGTGATTGGCTGAACAAAGAGGAAACTGAGGCAGCATTGTGCTAACAGCCTGCTCAGCTGCTAAAGGTTACCTGTGGCAGAAAATAGCCCTAGGCAGGAAGTATTTGTAGAGAAGAGATACAAACAACATCCAGGAGAACTATATTGATATGCTGGAGACTCAGTATAAGAACAATGAATCCAAACCGGGAGAAAGGAGGGACAGAAAAATGAGGAATTCTTGATGGTGTGGTGGAAAGAAAAGAGAGATGCATGATAAAAGGGGTGTTTGTGTGTGCATGTGTGTGTGTGTTAGAGAGCGAGAGAGACAGAGAGAGAGGGAGAAGATTAATCCAACTTAAATCAGTATGAGTCCAGTTTAGCTATTAAGTGGCATACACTTGAAAGTAGGAATAAGAGATCCTCCGGAAAAGGCTTTATTTTCCGGAGAATCACATCTAGACTGGCGCTTTTCTCCGGCTTATCTCCAAGCTGGAAAAAAGTGGCAGCCATGTTAATGCAAACTCTGTGGAGCAGTGTGGGGATGATTCAGGGTTTGCGTGACTGGAGCAGGGGCTTGAGCTGAGAAGTGCCATTATCACACTTGGGTAGGGTTCTGGGGTTAATGATGTTGCTTAGAGGTAAGGTAACTTACCAGCCAGCCTCGTGTCCCTGAGTAGCCGGTAGGAATAGGGCTGCTCTGTTTAGGACTGGGGCTCAGTTTGCCTGCAACCATCGGATGCTTCTTCTCCAGCTGGGCTGAAGAGCAAACAGAGCAGAGTGAGAAGAAGGGCTCATTGAGAGTCTGTTGCAGATTAGATAAGGGAGAGCTGGAGGTTCACTGGAGACGGCACAGAGGAGTTGTAGGGCCCCTAAGACAATGCAGCAGAAAGGAAGGGGAATCAAAGGAATGATTTGTGACTGGTAAGTGGGAGTCCACTCAAGAGGGTTTGTGTGATGGGTCAGCACAGAGAAGGGAGGGAGTGGCACCTGATAAGGGGAAAATTGGGTTGCAGAGAAGGGGGGGAAAGAATTAGGTTCTACCTGTGATGGGGGGCTGACCGTTTGGTAGTACTCAGTATCAAGTATGGCAGAGCAGGGTGGGAGTACAGTCTTGCCCATTCTGTGTGCAAGGTTGGCACCTGGAGGTTGAAACTGAGAAGTATTGGAATCAATAGTTGGGAGTGAGCAGGAAAGTACAGTCTGCCAAAAAGGAGTAGGAGGGAGAGCAAAGCATATATGGGAAAGTAGGAGGCCAGCTGAGAGAGAAAATATTGTGTGGGTTAGAACTGGAAGTGATTGTGCACTCATTGCCTGACTTTGAAATTTGGAGAACAGTGCAGAACAAGGGCATTTTCATCAGATCTCCTGCCATCATTTCCCCCAGCCTGCCAGCCCTCCCTGAGGCCCCTCTCCACCACCAGTTCTGTTTCTGGCCCTTGGCTCTTGACTTCAGCTGGCTTTGTTGCTGGCTCTGTCTGGGCTTGATGGACATGGCCCCCACCCTGCTCGGGGGTTCCTGGCCATGCCACTAGACCTCCTTCCCCTTGGCTTTCTGGTCCAGGAACATCTGTGGGATGTTGCTGGACCAGAGAGTCCCCGTTTAGGGAGGTGCAATCCAGGGAAGAATTCTTGTGAATCGGATCCAGACTGCAGGTTCATATTTCCCACCCCGTTCTAGATATTTGGTTCCCCTTCTGCTAAAATGGACACCATCCAAACTGCACAACTCTCCATCACTGTGCTCCTAGATATGAGATGATTTGCCCACTGAAACTACCAGTATCTCAGTTGCCCATCAAACTTTCCTGTCAATTAATTTTGACAGTGTACAGTGAAGGACAGACCTATCTTCATTGGATGTCCACCATTGCTGGGATATTGCCACTTCTCTAGGCTATCTTTCTATGCTTTTAGTGGTCTTTTCTCTTCACTTGTACCCAATAAAATCCCTCGTATTGAGGTTTGGGCTCCACTCATGGCACTTGCTTAGTTTATGAGGCATCAATCTACTACTGGAAGTATTTAACTCTTTTTACCAATCTCTGTCCAGTATAATAAGGATTCTCATCTCTGTGCACCCTCCTGAGACAATTTAATATGTTGACACTCTGAGTGATTATCTCCCAAGGAAATAATGGTGGTGGGAGAGAACGGGGGCCATATTGGGAGTTAAGGGACAGGAGGATCCCACAGTCCTGGAATCAGGAAGAAAAGGGGCCCTAGTACATAGGTTGGAGGCAAACAGAGACATACCATGGGTTCAAGATGGACATGAGGCATATAGAGAGCATTTGGAATGAGGGAGTGGGATGCAGCCCAAACCCCTGATAGGGTGTGCACATGAGGAACTCTGCCATTGAGAAGAAAGGTGAGGTGATTATGTAACCCATGTATCTAATAGGGAGATATCTCTTTAAGAGACCCGAGGAGGGGTAAGAGTGAGTTGTGCCTGGGTCATTGTTGCTAGGTGGATTTAGCACTCCACACCCAGAAGCTTGTGCAGTTGGGTGTGGTAGTTTGAGGCCTGCTCCAATAGGTTCTCTGTCTGTGGCTGGGGTAAGCTGCTCTGAACAAGCAGGCAGAACAGCTGCTTCTGTAAAAGCCTGGTGTCCTGTGTGAGCTGCGGAATGCAGAGCCAGTGGCAGAAAGTAAGCTGCTGCCCCTCACTGAAGCACTCTGCAGCAGGTAGTGATGGTGTTAACCCTTTACCAGCAAACATGGCCATGTCAATTACAGCAAGGGGTAAATGGGAGGAAAAATTAACTTCTGGTTTAATTGTATGGTTTGGATGTTGTTTTGACATCAACCACACTTTTCTGGATAACTCTGTCAGCTAGTGTGATTCTTCAGCTTCTCTTTACCTGTGGTAATGGGGAAA